GTAAAACTTTATATATCATACAATCAAAACTAAAAGATATAAATACAAAAGTAAGTTGTCAATTTCAAAATTAGCTCATATATTTTAATTATTTTTTACAAAGAGATATTTAAGTGCTGAAAATACTTTGTAGAAAACCGTCCATTTTCCTCTTCTTCTTGGCTCATCAGCATTTTACTCTAATTCAAAAATCTTGCGTCAATAAACTATCCTGAGAGAAATAATTATAACAGTTATAATGACATTTAATCTTTAGCGAGCAGGCTGAAACTGTCGATATCAAAAAACACGATAATGACAAATGAAAATACAAATTTCTCGGTTCGAAAATTGATCGTCTTTCGAGTTAAATTCAACGAGCTAAGCGATCATCTCGTATCGACGTGCATCTCTAGTTGCATAAGCTATTGGAGAGGACGATAATCCTCGGCGAAGGCCTTCTTTAAGAATCAGTCCATAATAATCTGCTCCAATAATGATGTCAATTTCGCAAGAAGAGGTGATGTCTGGATCAGCGAGTTGAAGATCACAAAGGTGATTCCATTCTTCTTTATTTATCTTGGCTGATGGAAAACGAGCAGTCAACTTTGGAAGAATGTAAGTTGTCATTCGCAGCTCCGTTGATGAATCAAAGTGAGGACTCAAGCGAAGAGACACAAGGCCTCGAGTCCAACCAGCCTTGACGGCACCAATTTCTATTAACGGAATTGAAGTGTGTTGTGGAGAAAGTTTTAAAGTCTGAGCGAGTCTCTCTGAGATAAACAAGATTTGAGAACCAGGATCGACCGACGCTCGGACCTTGTGTTTTTCTCCGTGATCAGAGGCGGTAATTAATTGAATGGTAGCGAGAATAGTTCGAGATGGTGAGGAACTAAAATTAACAGCAACACAGTTGACTTGAGCACTTGTTTCCGAAGGCGCGGTTTTATTATCATTTGATGTAGGTTTTTCCGATTTTTCTAAATTATCCGCAGGATGTATGCTCGTCTAATGTTTTTTCTCACACTTCATACAGCGATTGGTGGAACGACAATCGTTTGATCGATGTTGTCCGAGGCAGTTGAAGCATAAATTGTGTTTTTTAACAAGTACATACCGATCATTTGAAATTTTCTTTTTATATTCAGGACACTTTGATGCATAATGATCAGCAGAGCAAATCGAGCATTTCGGGGTAGTGGTTGATCCATCAGAAGCCAGGTGAGCTTTTACTGATTGTTGTTGAGATGATCCATGATTTTTCTTGATTTCTCAACTGCTTTGAGAGTCAGTAATCTTGTTAATAAAAATTCAAGGAATTTACGCCATGTCGGAGGTTCCTGAGAGGGTCCAAGATGATGCTCCCACTCCTTAGCAGAATCCGAATCTAATTTTCTAACAATTGAAAAAACCAGCATATCATCCTAATATTCTACTGGACGACCGATAGTTTCGAGAGAGCGATAGATTTGTGTCACAGTAGCGTAAATGCTTTTAAGTTCCGCGAATGATTCCTTGGTTATGTGTTTGATTGAATATAATGATTGTAGAGCGGAATTAACTAATAATCGCTTGTTTTCAAAAAAAGTGACAAGAGAATCCTAAGCCTTCTGAAAATTATCACTAACCAATGAAGTATTTTTTAGAAGATGAGAGACGGTACCAGTGAGACTTTGTTTCAAGAATTGCAATTTCATAATCGGGGAGAGTGGGAAGTGTCAAGGATGCTGATCGTGGAACGTGGTTAAAAGAATTTGGAAACATTGAAGCTTGTGAGTTTGAATTGACAGAAGGAGAGCGGTATTCATTCCAAAGACGATAAAGCTTTGAGTTTATTGTTTCTAATGCTTCTAGATATCCTTCTTGAATAATTTGATTGTATGTATCAATTGTAACATACATACAATTTAATAATTGTATTTAAAATAAGAAAGTTGCAAAATGTGATCTCTATCCCGAGTATTTAACTGTCTTACGGCAATTTGATGCGAGGACATATTAGACACACCGACACTTGTCAATTTTGACACTGAACTTAAGATAAAATCGATATGCGATGTTTGATTATCGATGCGACTCTTGATATGATCAACTCTCATTTTTAATGCTGAACACTGAATTCGATGAACAAATTAAACACTGAATTTGATAAATAAATTAACCACTGATCACTAATCCGGCTCGAAGGACCAAAAATGTTCGTACAGTTGCCTGTAATTTCCACAATTTTTGTAAGAGGGGAAAGAATAAGGTAAATCGTGCAACAATTGTTAATGAAAAGAAACACAGAACAATTCACATTAAATTAAGTTTATTACATAACTCTAAAATAGAATGATATACACGGTGAAATAATTAATTTCGAAAATAGTAAGTAACATTGAAAATGAGATCCTTGGTAAAAAAAAGAGTTCTCTTGAATATTCGTAACTCAAAAACAAAGCCAGAACTGATATAACACCCTCTAAATTTTTTTAAATCGAAAAAACTACCCTTAATTGAACAAATTCAAACTTAGAAGATATAAAAATCAAATAACACTTTTTTTAATAAACAGAACCATACACCTACGCTGCCGTGCAAAACTGAAAGACAGTAAAGACAGTTTTTCATATTTGAATTAGGTTTTGTTGACTATTACATTTTCACTTCTATAAAAATAAAGAGATTAAAATTTTGATCAAATTTTGTCTTGTTAAGATAGTAATAATTATTGTTATCTAATATGAATCAAATTTTTCATAATTTCTATTTCTATATTCTAGGAGAAGGAAAAAACTAATGGTTAAAATAACCTATTTAAAAATTAAGTTACGGGCTTTCAGTTTTGCACTGAATTTTTTTTAAATTGAAAAAAGCACTCTTAAGGGGGGTTTCTCATGAAAAAATCAATTTTTTTGCATAAATTTACTTCTTAATATGTCAAAAATGCCCTCCTAAAATTTTAAGTAGATCTGAGTGATAGTTTTCGAGATAGATCAGTTATAGTGGATGGCGCAACCACTGTAACGTATAGCGCTATCGTGGCTTTAAACGTGTTTTTCTGAAAATCATGTTTTATACGGTAAACACGCTTCAGAAAAAATGAAGAAAGATATTGCCTTAAATCTTTTTGCATATTTTTTGGCACACCTTTCTGCAGTTAATGAACTAGGATGAATCGAATCGGTAACCTCCCCACCTCCACCCCCCGCTAGATTTAAGTAAGAAAAAACGTCGTTTTTCGAAATTTTGATTCAAAAGTTCACCATTTTTTTATATTTTGGTTTTCAGTAAAACAACAAGTTGATACATACAAAGAAACAAGTTACCTGCTTATATCAATTAAAACTTGAAACACTATTGTTGCAAATATTTTTTATTTATTTTATTTAATTATTATTATTATTTTTTTATTTTAAATTTAATTAATTATTTCTAAATTATTATTTTTATAAGTTAGTAAATAATTATAAATTCAAACTAATTTTTTAAAAAAATCTTAATTAAAAATAATAGGTTTGAGTAATAATTTTCTTCGGAAACTTTGAGAATATTAGTATTTTTTTCATTCAACAACTTCTTTTTTCATCTTTTGTTTGTAATTGTTTGTAATTCCGGATCCCACATTACGGATCAAAAATAAAAAAAGAAATTTTGCATTTTAGCTAAAAAATTTTGTCTTTATTAAAATTCTATTAATATACAGTAATATACAGTAATATACAGTACTGCATATTAAGTACACGCAATAACCAATAATAATTATTGAATAATAATCAGTAATATAAATAAATATGTTAAAATTCACTTATTTAAATTATATAATATAATATTATTAAAATAAAAATTGTGTCAAACCATACACAAGATTTAATATTTTGATATAATAAAAAGGGAGGTGATGTGGATCCGACTTGAAAATGTTGCACACAAAAAACGAAAATCAAGAAAATCCAATGTTGAATCGAGATTGTAGGATCTGGAATGTGGAATCTAGAATGTGGTATTTGCAATGTGGAATCCGGAAAATGGAATCCGGAATGTAGAATCTGGAATGTGGAATCTGGAATGTGAAATCTGGAATGTGGAATCAGGAATGTAAAATAAAGAATGCGGAATCTAGAATGTGGGATTTGGAAGGCAGAATCCAGATTGTAGGATCTGGAATGCGGAATCTAGAATCTGAAATATTAGATCCGGAATGTAGGTTCCAGAATGTAAGATACGGAATGTGGGATCCAGAATGTGGAAACCGAAATGTGGAATTAAGAATGTGGAATCGGGAATGTAGAATAATATTCGATATTAAACAAAATTTTTTGACCCTTGACCGCCATTTTAAAGCCCGCCATGTTGAATTTTGAAATCAGTAAATACACTTGATGTAGCTCAGGACTTGCGGAAGCGATATTGAAAGCGTTCATACATATCCTGATACTGTAAAACCACAAAAAAGTCATTTACGACGGACAATGTTAAAAAATTATAATTTCTTTGTTAGAAAGTACCTATATCTTTTTTTTCCTTTAAACTATTTCAATTTTTATTGCAAAATCTAAAAGAGCAGTTCTGAAAAATTATTTTACGCAATGCTGAAATGCTTTCAACACCTAACATCGAATTAAATATTTGTTCTTTAGAAAATAACGGATTTGCGTACTTTGTGCGACAATATCGACTTCTAGAAATTGTTTAAAAATTCTGAAAAAATTAGAAAATTTTTTTTACTATGTAAAAGAAATTAATCTGGTAAGACTTGGAGAAATTAAAAAAAATTATTTTCTGACCACCCTATTAAATACTGCTTTCTTTTTTGTTCTGCCAACCCAATTTATGTACCTGTGCTTATCAAAAAGTTCTTAACAAAATTATTTTGTATTATTCTGATTTAGTACATTTGTCTGAAAATATTTGCGGAAACAGTATAGAACATTCTTCTAAAAATCCACACTAAATTTATTACAAAAATTCTTACAAGTACAAGATGTAAGAATTTCTTCTTTAATATTGTGCAAATGTGTGCTTTTTATCTTCTACAGAATCGGGGAAAAGGACTAGACATGAATGTACAAGAAGCTTGGGCTGAAGGAATTACAGGTCGTAGTGTTGTCGTTACAATTTTAGACGATGGATTGGAAAAAGATCATCCCGATTTAAAAGATAATTACGTAAGTTACAAATTAATTATAAATTTTTTTAATATGACAAATTATTAAATTGGTTTTTATAATTCTTTTATTTTTTTATTGTCTCTTAACCCATTAAAGGGTTTACGGATTTCCAGAGGTACTTGATAAGTGACTATAGTCATAGATTGGACGCAATAAAAAAATTTATGACCTTCATGTTACTATTTATATTAATGCAAAGTTGTTTTCATACATAAAGGGAAAAATGTTGGGTTCTTTGACGTATCCGACATTCCGAATATGCCAAAGTGTTACAAATTAAAATAATAATAAAAAAAAGAACTAAAGACAAGTTGTATTATTGTAGAAATTTGATTTTATTCAGGTTGATTGCGAATTCGACAATACAAAATACGTTTATAATTATACCTGTGTTAACACACCATGATAAACTCATCATGTACAAGATCCCAAACAAAACTTAACGCATAAGCGGGTCCACCGGTTTTAAAATGTCTCCAATGGGGACATAGCCGATCACACTCCGGGATTCGTTCCAGCAGAGGTGGATGATTTAAGATCCATTTTTTAGATGTTATCCTGCGATAGATAGCATTGAAATCAATTGAATTTTACGCTGTTCTGCGATTGACTCAGTATCAGCTCCGGTGTAGATATCGTCAACATAGGTATTCTCGCGAAGGATGCAAGCAGCGTCAGGAAATCTAGCTTGTTTATCGGAAGCAAGTTGTTGCATCATTTGGAGAGCCAAGTAAGGAGAGCTAGACATTCCACAGATTAGTATTAGCAGCTGGAAGTGAGTGACTTCTTTTTCCTCCGATCGCTTCCAAACGATTCGTTAAAGATCAACGTCACGCTCATCGACTCAAATCATGCGATACATCATCTTGATGTTAGTGCCAAACACCACACCTAAGAAACGCCACCGCATTATCACGGTAGACAGATTAACCTGAAGTCCAGTTTCAGTTGCCCATCAGCATCATCACATCCCCGATAAATGCCCTCAAGGAGAAGTGAGCCGTATACACCGGCGCCTAAAAGGATTTCAATGCCTTGAGGCATGGTAAAATCAGGGTCAGCGAGTTTGATTCCTTTTAGGTGGGGTCAATATGTTCTCATAAGCTTCTTCTGGAGTGTAATTATTCTTAGTGAACAGAGAACGAGGGCATGAATTTCGAGAGATGCAGGAGTTTGTTTTGAATGAAGATGGAGAGTAACACTCCTGTGCAAAGTGTCGACCTGAGAACCACTAATTGTGCTAATTGAGTTATCTGTCCTGCGCTGAATTAAACCTAAGCGCCGAGCTAAGATGCATGACACGAAACTTGCTTCGGATCCTGGGTCGATGAGAACTCGGACGCACACTTGCAAACCATTGCTGATATCTACCAGGGCAAGGGCAGTCGCTAGTAATGTTGATCATGCTGTATGCAATGAGGACTCCTGAGGAATTTGAGAAGTTGAAGTCCCCTTTTCCAACCGGGTTTTCTTTTCGGCAGATCGTGATTGTTCGATATTCGGTCGTTTAGAACGCACTGATCGGTGAAAAAGGGTATGGTGGGATGCTTTGCATTCCTGACACTTGGATTTAGAAGGGCATTCCCTAAAGATATGCCCATTTCGTAGACAATTAAAGCATAAATTAAATTGTGTGATTGACTTGTTCCGTTCTTCAGGATTGTTCTTCTTGAATTCAGGACAATGACTGATATAATGTTGATGCCCGCAAAGGCTAAATGATCCTTGAGAGGTAGACACAGTTAGTAACCGTAAACAGCTACGAAAAGTTGACTTTTTGCCTCGCGAATTCTGCATTGAAATATAGGGTTTTTTTCGCTGTTGGTTTCCGTGGCCTCCAAGGCCCAAACCTTTCTCTGAAGAAAAGACTTGACTTTAATAAAAGTTAAAATTGTGTCTTACCCGCGAAGCTCATGTTCCCACTTACATCGAGTACAGGGGTCCATACCACGAGCAGCAAGTAAACGCGAACCAGTCGTCCCAATGTTCAACTGGACGTCTAAGAGCCTTGAGGGAATCTTTTTTTCGGTTAAGCGTGTCTAATAGCGATTGCAAGTCCGCTGCACTCTCCTATTTTAATCCACTAATGGAGACAAGAGTCGATAAACTTTCTTGAACGAGGATCCATTCATTGTCGTAGCGCTTCAGTAAGAGTAGCCAAACAGTCTGGTAATTGGCGTCTCTGACTGGAAGGCTATCAAGAGCTCCTTTTGCTTTTCCTTTAAATTAACCCTTTAGTTGACACAATTTTTGGACATCACTTAATGCGGCGAGGTAAGTGGTTAAGTGCAGGGAGCGAACAAACAGCAGCTTGTTGAGCTGCATCAAAGCGGCCACGTTCATCATAAAGATTACTAAAAACCGTTAATGCGGCTGATTTAAGGGGTCTACCCACTTTAGACAGGCTAAAAAAAGGCTATTTTCATATATATTTTTTTTAAGTTTATATTACAAATATTGATATGCGAGGTATTGCACATAATAAATACACTCTCGAAGTGCAAAAAAAAATATTTTTGATTTTTTTCAATTAATTTTTTTATTTAAAAATACATGTTGAAAAATATGTTTAAAAAAAATGTGGTGCGCGCTGTTGATGAAATTTTTGACACGGATGGTCTGAAACAAAAAATTCAAACGGTATTAGATTCAGCATGTTGATAGCTATTGCGCATATCATACGATTTTTTTTTATGCAAAATTGACAAAATGGCGGACATTTTACGAAAAAAATGTAAAAAAAACGTTGTTTTTTGACCGTTTTGGGCCTAAAAAAAATATTTAAAATCAAAATTTTTAAAATCCCTTGATATGCGCAAGAGCTATGGTCACAATGAATATGTGGTAAAAATTTGGTAAGGATCGGTGGAGCCGTTTCCAAGATTTCATCAACAGCGCGGAAAAAAAATTTTTTGTGGGATTTTTTTTCAACTACCATCTTCATGCATACAAAAATTTACAAAAACAAATAACAAAAATTTTTTCATGTATTTCGGGAGTGTATTTCTTTAGTCTAATAATTTATATGTCAATATTTATAATATAAACCAATCAGAAAAATTCTTGAAAACAACCTTTATTTTAGAGCGTCGAAAGTGGGTAGACCCCTCAATATGCTCGTAGATAATATCAGTAAAATAATGGACCTCTGCAAGTCGTGTCTTGCCGATGAGAACCAGATGATTTGTTTGCAGCTTGGTCCAATAACCCCGTAGCAGCTCAATACGGTTCACCAACATTCCCCAAGTCCAGCGTTGGTAATAGTATCAATTACCTGAGCTACGATGGCTACTAAGGATCGCAGAGAACCGAGTAGAGATAACATGGTTATATAAGTAATAAAGGCAAATAAATAATGCTTATGTAATTTCGTCGATCTGTAACATTGAAATTAGTACAAAGTTAGGCAGCCTGCATGCCGAGGCATACCTAAAGTCATGCCTTGGCATGTAGTCCGCCTAACTTTGACACATGCTTTGATGTAGTCAGTTAAGATGAATCTCGAACTACAACGTGAAAGGCCACAAATCGATACATTCCTCAAAAGTGTGATAGATTTATACAAATCTATTCTATAATGTTACATGAAGCCGGATATTCTCGCTTATAATGAATTGTCAAGGAGTCAAGTAGATTAGCCTCGTAATTTAAAGCCGCTTGAAGAAATGCACTTTGGTGCAAAAGTCGATGCTTTTATTAAAAGCGTTATACCTATATAGATCAAAGAGAATTGAACAACTTTCGATTGCGGGCACATGACTTTTATATCGAGTTATCGAAACAAATCAAAGTAAGTTTTGATTAAAAATCCTCATCTGGTTTATGCGTCCAACTTTTCAGTTGAAAGTGATTTATCCGGCAGATTCATGTCAATATCAGAGTACTTAAATTTATATCCCTCAATAGGTGCTGATGCGGAATTAATTAATTTAGAATGGCAATTGCTTCCAGAAGTATTTGTTCTACAAGAATGCTCAACTTTAAAAACAATCGATTTTTAGTGCTTGGGTGATAAAAAGAAAAACGAAGCTCCCGAATTGTTTTTCTTAAACTTGATGAAAGTTGTGAAATATGTAATTCTTTTTTACATTTCTCTGCTGCTGCAGAGCGAACTTTTTCACAACATAATTTGATGAAGTCAAATAAATTAAAAGCATCAACAGCTGTTGAAATATTGCTCATAAAAGGTGGTTTACGATACAATGAATTATCTTATAAAAGAATTTCTTCGAAGAAAATTTACGCATATCTAGAAGCGCAATTTCATAATCTTGAGCAAGTGGAAAATGAAGATTTTGACGTATTTGCAATTGTTGAAATATTCAATTTAACCGCCTTTATGTATCTCTCGATTGACTCGTATAGTCCGAGCCTACGTCACGTCCGTTTGCGTGCGCATTTCTTCTTCACTTACTCTTGCGCATCCCTTTACACTTACTCTCGTGTGATTGACCGCGCTGCATTGATTTCGTGCCAAATAAACTATCGTGATATATAGTGATTTAGTGTGTTATTACTGACTTAAACTTTCTCAATAAACGAATTAAGCTAACAGGTTATTATGATCCCAGGAACATTTTTCACTGCGCAAAATATATTTTCAAGTGAAAATTCTAATAATTCAGAAACGGCGTGGTGGCGGCGTCCTCGCGTGTTTAGTGGAAGCCATTTTCTTTTGGCTGTGAACAGTTTAGTGTACAACAAAAATTGAAATTTCAATAAAACGAAATTATTTTCTTTTTAAAATATTAGACATGCATGTTTGTTTATTTATACATGTGTGTGCGCGCACGCATGTACATGTGTGTGTGTCTAAAAAATATTTTAATGCGAAAGTGTTTAACGAGTATACTATTTAACGAATTTAACTTTATATAATTACAAATGCTTAAAACAATTAATTACTATAAATTGTTCTGCTAAATATTATTGTAGTATATTTATATATGTGGAGTTTGATTTTGGCTCTCATGCAGAACGGACGTGTTTATATTCGC